ACATCCACGGATGCAGAAGATTTCTCTCAAAGCAGGGGGGGTGAGGTTCTGAGCCTCACCTCTGTTGATCCCCAAATTCTCACCTGATGGCCCCCCTGCGACTGTGCCTGTCTTAGGTTGTTCCTCCCTTGAGGAATCTTACCCGTCTCTGGCTAACCAGTCATCTTCCGGGGCCATACAGGGAAATGTAAAGTTGGTAAGTGAGAGAGAAGCCATATTGTTTGCAAAGGTTAGCTTTTTACTTCTTTGCAGATTTATGCCCTGTGGCTTCTATGCCCAGCACTTGTCTCGAGGTATCTTTACCACCTGGAGGAATTATGATACTCGGTAAATTCGATATGAGGCACGAATTCTATTTAAGGTTTGTAATTAGGAAGGAAGAAGAAAAGCTATAGATGTAGCATATGAAGGAAACTTGGGAGGATTGATTATTTCTTTGACATATCTTCTTGTATAGTACCTTAAGTATGTATAGGTTTTAAACTACTAACTAATTTGCACACACATATTAACATAATAGGAATACGGTGACATAAACAAAGCAAATCTATAATTACCAGCCATCTCCAGTGAAGCCAAGAAAACCATTTAGGCACCCTAGGCATTTGTGAAAATTTATCTATGATATGATGGATATTTTCCAACTGTACTTGAACCATCAGACAAATTAAAGCAGCCCATTTCTGGGATCTGTTCACATCCCATATGTTCTTTTAACCATAGATAGTCTATAGTCATGAGATTTTGGGGTGGGAAATTTTCTTTTTAATGGGGAAATTTTTCAAAATAGTAAGTAAAGAGCAGGAGAGTGACACACACACACACACATATGACCCAAATCAGGAAATCAGAGTGGGAAGGAACCCAGGTTTGATGTCAGAGGATCAGAACTGCTACTTCTTAGCTGAGATTTGTTTCCTCGTCTATAAAATGGAGATAATTCCCCCCACCTGAGTTTCCACATGGGCAAAATGAGCTCAGCAAGATAGCAACACTCATAAATGCTTGTCTGATTATCACACACACCAGGAGAAAAGGGCCCTTTGGGGCCCCAATGGTACAGAGAAACTGGCCAAAGGCCAGGCTCCCATGATGGGAGAGAGCTTGATCTTAAGAACCTGGGGGAATGGGGGTGAGATCACTATGTGCAGAAATTCAGTAGCACTGCAGGCCTCAGGCCTCCCTCCTGAGAAAGGCCTGCTGGCAAGGTTTACCCTCAGCTGGCGCCTGGGAACTTGGATTTTCAGAGGGCTCCACCACTCCCTAACTGACAGAAGGGGCTCACTGGCCCGGACTCTTTGCACATGTGGCTTGTGCTGAGCCCCTGCCTTCCTTCAATCTTGGCAGGTGCAGGCAGAGGGTGCCTATGTGAGCAGCCCCAGGAACACCCTGGGCACTGAGTCTCTGACCCACTTCCTGGCAGATGACACGTCACACGTGCTGTCATGACCCATCGCTGGAGAGTTAGCCTGTCCTGTGTGACTCCCCTGGGAGGGGGCTCTACAAGCCAAGCCTGGTCCCCACACTGCACCCCACGGGTCTCTCCCCTTTGGTGACTGTGTTCTGTGTCCTCTCCCTGTAATAAATCACAGCCACGAGTGTGACTAACATGCTGAGTTGTGGGAGTCCCCCCAGTATTCACCAAACTTGGGGGTGGCTTCAGATTCCCCAGTACAACAGGCCATTCTCCTAAAACAGACTCCACATTCTGGGATCTCTGCTCAGGCCACTTCCTTGCCCAGGAAGTTTCCATCCCCCTCAGCTCGTTCCCCCTGCTGTTGTCAGGCCACCTCTCAGTGGGCAAAGCCCCACCAGCTCCCTGCACCTCAGAGAACAGAAACCTGGGCCCGTGAGCCCACTCCTGGTTTCAGGAGCCGAAGAGGAGCCATCACAGAAAGCAAGCACTCCGTTTTCAGGGCTGATGCTGAACAGGCAGCAAAGTGGCCACATGACCGTCTCCACCAAAGTGCCCTTGTCAACAACACGAAAATGAAAGGGCCCTTTTCCCGGCCTGCCCGGAGCTGACCTGAAACCAGAGAGGTGGAGAAGCCAGCGGCCGTGGCCACTGCAAAGCTGCTGTGGCCATTTACTGCCTCCCAAAAGGACCTGCCGGTTTCTCACTGGGTGTGTGTTGGGTGGGGAGGGCAGGTGGAATCCAAACACTAAAATGGAAGCCACGAGTGAGAACAGAGAAGAGACCATATTCTTGCTGGAGTTCCCCAGAAGCCAGCTTTCTGAAAGGCGCAGTACATCGAATGAACTGAGAGGGAAGATGGGCAACTATTTGTTAACGTGATGATAAAACCTACTACAACCTGATTAAAACTTTAAGATAACATGAAAAAGCCTTAACATTTCTAACAATAAAGAAATGAATTTACTATAGAACACATAATGTATTAATACTAATTTCTACCAATCAAATGGATTGGCATCAATGTAATTAACTCTCTGTTAGTAGAAGACATAATGTAGTGGGTGTCAGAAGACCTGTGATCGAATTCAGCTTTATCCCTTACTAACTGTCAATCACTTATCAAACACACAGTTTCTGAGATACTCAGACTTCTGTTAACTGTCCAAACCCAAGCAATTAACGAGGAACAGACCTTTCCCTAGCAGAGCCAACATCCCATGTACTAGTTACACCTCTTAACCTATCTGGACTGCCCTCTCCCCATCTGAAAATGGGAGTGGAGATGCCCACCTCCCAGAATCTTGTGCAAGTTAAGTGAGAGAACATGTGGAAGTGTCCAGCTCATTACTGGAACAGCATGAGCACACAGGAAGTGTTTGCAGGATGCAAAGTGTGTGCAATCAGAGTTGACTTCACTCACATGGGTTTTTAGTGAGAAAGACAGACAGACAGACAGACAGACAGACAGACAGAAGGTGGAGGGCCGAGGGCTGATGGGTCAAGTCAGTGGCTCAGAAAGTCTGAGGAGTACACAGAAAAACATAGTGCAACAGCACCAGGCAGAAGAGCTTTGAAAAAGGCTACAAGGGGACCACGAGACGAGTATCAACTCAGGAAACAGACACCCACAGAATTGTTTTAGTCAGTGGTAGAAGACCCTGAGTCTAAATAGTCAAAATGTTATGGTGAACAGAGATGCTGAAAGAAGAGGCAACTGGCTAAAGACACCCTCATGGGAGAGCCATCAGGCGCAGGTCAGATGCCCTCCAGGGCCCGGCTTACGGCCAGATGTCACACTGGACAAATTCCTAGCACTCAATTTATCTGCAAGATGTTCTAGGCTCTTGCTGGTTCCTAAAGATCTTTATGGTATGTTGGCACAGCCAGAGGGCTGCTTCTGGCTAATTTGCAGCCCAATAATTCCTAATTAATTTACTGTTTTATGGTCCTTTAACAGAGATAATTCTCTTATAATGAGATGATAAAGTCCTTGAACTATGGAGTCAGGGCAAAGTAGGGATCTTTGATGGCTTCATATTCTAGAGCTAACAGTGCCAAAGCAAGCCAGGCTTCCCATCACCCCTACCACAGAACAACTTGGTGCCTGGGGGAGAAGGGAGCCAAGTGTGCACCAACCAGAAATTCCCCCTCCCCCCACAGGCTGACATGCAGGGGCTCACCGGGTGGATGTCCAGGAACAAGGAATGCTCTTCTGGGTTAGGGTGGAGGCCAAGCACCGCCTCTGCCAGGACCGGGTCAGCATTGTAGAAGTGAGGATGGGAGAGAAACAAGGGTGCACCTACGAGGCAGAGGGACAGAGATGGGGCTGTTAGACAAGGAGAGCATGTTGGCACATCCAGAGGCCTGCTCTGTGCCAGGCCCTGAACCAGGCATGGGGATGCACAGATGACAAACTGAGGCACAGTCAATGCATTGCCTGTAGAGTACCCCATGATGACAAGATGCAAACGGTAAGCAGACAGACAGAATTCCTTCATTCAGGCAGGCTGTAAATGCTTACCAAGTGCCCAAGAGGCACCAGGCACTGGGACACAACAGGGGAGGGGCTCTGCGCCATAGGGATGATAAGGTGGGAGCTGCTGATTCTGGCTGGGGAGACCAAAGGAAGAGAGGCTGATTAAGAGATGCCAGGCCAATGTCAGGGACCAGCATTCCAGGTGGAAGGGGTGGTAGAAGTGAATGCAGGAAGGTGGGAAAATGCACAGAGCATATGGAGCAGACGGTGCGTGGAGGGGGATTAAGAGACATGAGAATAGAAAGGTTAGTTGAGGCCACATCTGAACTTGACTTGGGGAAGGGATGCATTGATTGCCAAGCCAAGCAGCCAGACTATCTTCTGCAGGCAGCGCAGCAACAGAGATGCTCAGGTGTGCACACCTGTAGCCAGGTCTCCCTAACATCCATGGGAGGGGAGGAGACACGCCTCTTTTGTTCCTTGTCTCCCAGCAGCAGATCTGCGGGACGGACGCCAGAGTGGGTAAGAAGGGACTGACTCGGCCCGTGAGTGAGACACTCACACCCAGAAACATGAGGCCGAACCTCTCCACCAAGCGACACAGCAAGGCAAACACCAGTGCATTCAGGACAACGTAGTATGACAGGTCTGGGGACGATGAGCTAACGAAGAAAAGATGAGTGTCTCAAAAACTCACAAGGATCCAGAACAAGCAAATCACAGAGACAGTGCAGACTGGTGGTGGCCAGGGGCGGGGGGAGGGAAGACAGGGAGTGACATAATGGGTACTGGGTCTCCTTCTGGGGTGATGGGAATGTTCCAGAACTAGAGGCAGTGACTGAACAACTTTATGAATGGACTAAATGCCAGTGAGCTGTACACTCTAAAATGGTTAATTTTATGTTATGTGAACTTCACCTCAATAGGAAAAAAAAGAACAAGCAAAACTCACAAGGCCTCCCTCCTGAAAACCAACAGTGTGTCTGACACCAGCCAGGGAGGTGACCAGCTTTTAGATACATGTGTTTGTCAACCTCAACTCAAATCTAGATTCCTCCTGCTTTTCTTAGCAATGCCAAGCACTGGTGTGACATGAGAGCTGGGATTTTAGTGGTGTCTGACTTCATCTTTCCTAGAGCCATTTCACATTCACTGCTGTCATGTTTCTCACCATTGATCCATTCATCCTCGTACCTCTTCAGTTTGCCATATCTGGACACACCATGCACTGTTACACAATTGCTTCTGTGAAGCAATTGCCATTGCTTTACTTAAATAGCTATATTTAAAAAGGGAGCTTTCTATCTGAGTCATAACTGGCAAACATTTGCCACAATTAGAAAGTAATACAGGGGTATATACAATGGAAACCAATGAATGTTCTACACTCTAACTACACACTGTTGCCTGCCCAAGGCTTTGACCCTGAGACCTATTCTTTCTCTGTTAGTAAGACAGAGAAATGAGTGTTGGCAAAGTGTTCAAGGCAGAAACTTTCTCCTGGAGCTAACTGGAAAGACAGAAAGAGAATGGAAAACAGAAGCCTTGTCCGCCATGCAAGTCAGTATTATTTAAAGCTGCCTCTTGGAACTTTGAAGTCACCTTGAGTACCCCCAGGAACCACGTCCCACAATTTGGAAAACCCCATTTTCAGTGACTGGTGCACAGCCAGCCATGTGATGCAAGACAGACCAATCAGAGTGAACCCTGGGACTTTCGCTGGAGAGCAGAGGACCCACACAGCCCTTTTTGCAGGACCCAGAGCTGGAGGAGGTCAGCCTGGAGCCCTGGGGAGAGCCTGCCTCGCAGGGGAGTCAGCCTGGAGGAGAACCTAGCTGACGTATGGTGACAGGCAGTTTCAAACAAGAGCTGAGCTCTGCAACCATGCCTAATAAAAGGATATGCTCTGGACTGTATAGCTACACAAGCCAGGAAGTGTCCTTTAGGCCCAATCTGGCTGATGTAGCACCTGCATTTGCCACAGCAATTCCAGCACATACCTACAAGGTGTCTGCACTGTCAGGCCATCCCATAAGCAGAAATTCCCATAGACAGCAGTGCAGAAAGAAACAAGAGGACAAGGCCAGGTGGGCAGGCAAGGCCATGGCAGAGAGGGCATTTCTAGGCCCCAGTTCCAAACCCCCCACGGAGCACCCCATTCTGCCTGAACTTGAGGAAACCAAGTTCAGGACAGTCCTTCCTCCCAACCGTGCCACAAACTACTCCTCCTAAATCCTCATCATCAGCTGGAAATGTGGCTTCAACCAAACAGGCCCCCAAAAGACAAGACCCAGTCAGATGAGGAATGGCTTCTTGCCCTACCAATCATGTGAACTTGGTTTCACTGTTGACAATAATATATTTGTGTTGTTCTAAGCCACTAAGTTTGTGGAATTTATTATGACAGCAGCTAATATACATGGCATTTTTTTTTCAAATTATCATTCTCCTGCCCTTATTATCTCTGGTCCAGTGAGATCAGCAAGAGTAGAAAGGCCAAAGATTAAGCAGATAGCATGGCCGATAAGCCCCTCATCACCACGTCCTCCACCCTTCATCGGCTGACACGTACTGAACCTGCAGGTGCTGACGTTCTGAATTCCAGACTCCAGGCACGGGCAGAAGCCCTCGTTGGGTGGGTAGACAGACCCATTGGCAAATAAGGTGTTGGGGGCCACAAAGCGATAGGTAGGGATGCCTTCAAAGATCCCCGACTCCTTGAAAGTTAGCTTCATGGACCTGCGGGGGACATGGAGATGGAGGATGCCACCCAGAGCATGGCAGCTGTAACCAGGTCTTGTAGAAGGTAACCCAAAGTGAGCCACCTCCCACCTGCCCCGCCACACCCTGGGTCCCAGCAACCGTTGTCCGTGTCCCGGGGAACAACAGCTTCCTAATGGTCTCCCTCCCCCCACACCTGTGCAGGCAACTCTTCAGAAGCAGGCAGAGCTTTAGAACAAGAACAAAATAGATCAGGTCCCTACTTTAAACTGCAATCACTTCCAGTCTCATCTCTAATAAGAGCCAGCATCCTCACCATGGCTCACAAGCTTCTACAGGGTGTCAAATTACAGTCCAGACATCTATGGCTTGATATTAAAAAAAAAAAGATGTAAAACATCTCTTCGATAATATTTTACATAGCTTACACATTGAAATGATAGTATGTTGTATATACTGGGTCAAAGAAAACAGGTCATTAAAATTAATTGCACACATTTCTTGTTATTTTTCTTAACACGGCTGCTATAAAATTTAAAATTGCAAATGGGACCTCCATTGTTACTAGATAGCACCAGCCTAACACAACAGTGTTATGTCAATGCTAAATTTCCTCATCTGGATGACAGTTATGTGGTTATGTAAGAAAATGTCCTTGTTCTTAGAAAACATTCACTGAAGTTTTTAAGCAGCCAACTTACCCTCAAATAGTCCAGGAAAAATAGAGAGAGAGAAGAGGGGGTAATGACAAAGCAGGTGGGCAAGAGAGAGAGAGCCAGTGAAATTGGTAAAGGGAAATGGAGAAAGCTGTCCTCTCTCAAAGCTGTTCTCTAGGTTGAAATTTCTAACGTTAAAAAGTGAACACACGCACAGCAAAAGCACCTCCCTCCCGCTGACCACACCCCAGCCCTGCCCCCAAGTCCCCATGCCAGATACAAGCTTGCAGGGAGCAGGGACTCGGCCCAACTCACCACCATGTCCCCAGCACCTCGAGCAGACAGGGCACCATTACAGCCTTGCTGGGAAGGTGACTGAGTCAAAGCTCACCCAGGGAATTCCCAAGTGAAGACTTTCCCAGAGAGGGGTAAGTGGAGCAGAGGACAGGGCTCCATCTGGAGAAGGGCTCTGGGATCCACTGTCTATTCTTACCCCTCGGCTGGACCCTGGAACAAATCAGCCCCCGAGGCCACCACTCCGAGAACTGAAGGGGCCATAGGAGAGGCATCCAGTTGTGTCAGTATCCAAATGCCCCTTAGCGCAGCCAGGCCCACAGGAGCCCAGCCCTGCCTAGTTCACAGCCCTCTGTGACCTTGATCATTTCCTACCCACCACACCGCCACGTCCCAGCGATGGCCAGGAGTCTCTCTGGGCCCTGCAGAAACATCCACATTTGGAGTCTGGTTCTTCATGGTGTAACCAAGGAGAATTTAAGATGGTGCCAAGGGCTGGTGGAGACAGAGAGCCAAACACCTTCCAAGCATGCCCCAAGGGGCATTCCGTTAGGCCCTGAGCATACAAGAATTAGATTTCCAAGGCTTAGGAGACCCAGAAAGCCTGCAAGTGAGAAAAATTACCGGCAAGCCTCAGGGCTGTAGAATTCCAGAGAGGATTCAGGAGTCATAAATGGCGCCCACATCTGCCCGGAAGTCCCGTTAATCATGTTGCACTGATCAGAGTGCCAGAAGCTGACCTGTGGGCACATTCAGACACAGTTACTTAATATAGCGAGGCCTCTTAAGAAATGCTCTCGGGCACTGCACACCTAACTTGGAGCTACGACTTGGGCTGTGTGCCCTGGGGTAAATGTCACCACTCAATTCCCAGTCCCATTTCTGGGCATCTTGGAGAGATGAGTTGGCACAGAGGGAGGAGAGCAAGCTGTGTAGACAGCCAGAGAGGGTAGTGACTACAGCCCCCTAACTGTGGATCCCTAAATGTGCAACTTGGCTGGGGACTCAGTTCCTTCATCTGTGAAGTGGGCCTGTCACCCACATCTCCAAGGAGCATAGTGAGGGAGTGAGGTTGGAGGCAGGATCCTGACATCCTCACCTTTCAGAGAGGAAGCCCCCAAACACTACCTAAAAACAGACAAAGTCAGGTGGTAGTACGGTAGACAACATATTTAAAATCATAATGGTGGCCACAGGGAGACCTCAAAATACTTAGTCGCCTCTAGGGAGAGACTTGGACAGAAAAAAAAACAGATTTCTCACTCTCTACCCCTCATACTATCAGCATGTTTTTAATCATGGGTACATGTATATCTTTATATTGAAAAAGCAGGCCACATAGAATTTTAATAGAGTATTCCTTAACAAAAGTTATTACTGGCTACAAGTGGTGATCCTGCTGTTCTGGGCGCCGATCAGGGTATCATCAGTCCCCAGCCCTCAGATCTTTGCAGCGACCATCTGGAGGCGTGAGCCACACCACGGCACATTTTCATGCCACCAAGGTGAAAAAAGCAAATTGCAAAGCGATGCACATATGACTTCATTATGTTCAAAGGAAAAATAACCACTGCATTTCTAGGTGTACATACAGTCATGCAAATGGATAAAAAGAGACAGGAAGAATATACCCAGTACGGATAACCATCAGTTTCCTCTGTGGTTCAGGGTGGAGTGGGCTTCGGCTGAGCACGTGAGGTTTCATATCTACCCGTGTTGTTTTATTTTTCTAATGTGAATGGCTTCCTGTGTTTCTAGAGTAAGTTTTTTTTTTTTATTCAATAATACCTTTTCATGTAATGGATGGTTCTGTCATCAGTATAACATTTTTGAAGCATTTTTATAGATTAAAAGCCAAAGGGAAGATCTCAGCTCCTAGCATACATGAGGGGCTAAATAAGTAGCTTCTATTTCCCATCCACCCATCTAGAACCAAGGGCCAGTAGAGCCTCAACCATGGGTAAACCCCCACCTTTGAGAGTATTCTCATTCACAGATGCAAACACCCTCCAGAGTTTTAAGAGGAAGAAGGCCAGCCCGGGGTAGTTGTGGGGTGGGTGGGGGTGTAGCAGGGGAGTCACCATCTCCTGTCCTCACCTTGCTGAGTCCGTTCCACCTGTCCACAAGGTGGACTTTGCTTAAGTCTTTGACGCCTGTGAACACGGTGAAGAGCCCAGAGTCGGAGTTGTTGAGCTGTGGACAATGGCAGAAAAGAGCATCTGTAAGCCTCAGGGTGGGGCAAGGGGCCTGGGGGCTGGCCCTCGAGCCTGCCCATTCAATTAAGGCTGCTACCCCTTCACCTGGCCAGGTGCCCTCTTATCTTGTTCACCACTGCATCCCAAGGCTTGGGGATCAACGGGAGGAGGACTTGGGGGCTTTCTAAGAGGGATAATCCCCTGATTACAGTGCCCCTCCTAGAAAGTATCCTCCTTTCCTTCTGACTCAAGGAGAGTCTAGCTCCTCTCCCAGGTGAATGGCAGGGTCACTCCCTCTCCCCCAACTTAGAATAAAGCATGGCCATTTGACATCTTCAATCAGTGAAAAAGAAGCAGAGGTGGCTTATCACCTCTGGTGGAAGCTTTAGGAGCCGATGCACACACATTCACAGTGTTTTCTGATGCTGCTGTAGACACCCGGAAGTGTGTGTCAAGCTGTATTCTCCCTCAGCCTGGGTCCCTAAGTGACCACAAAGAGCAGAGGACTCCCGGTCACCCACACTGGGCATGGCATTCCAACAATAACATTTTGCTGTTTACAGGCACTCAGATTCTGGGGCTGCTCGTTACACAGCATAATCTGGCCTATCCTAAGGGATACAGAACCCAGTGTTTATTGAGTACTTTCTAGAGGGTAAGCCCCAGGCTTTGGCACTCTGAGGATATTTCCTAGAAATAGATTTCCAATTCAGAGCCAAGCCATGCAAAGCATACAAAGAAATGAGTGACTGCTGGTAAAATCTAGAAGCACCATTTACTATTGAGGCCGTATGATATAAGGTATAACATATGTTAGGAACTCAGTAAGGGCTGTTTCCTGGCCAAATGGCTAAATCAATTACTGACTGGTTAAGCAAACAGGCTCCAGAGTAGGGTCCAGTTCAAAGTCCTGCTCTGGCCTCCTAATATCTGTGCAGGATATCCCCTATGCATTCAGAACTTCAAGAGCCCATTACTTCAGCTGTCACATGAGGAGTATGTAAGAGGAGCCACTACAGAGAGGCAATGGGAATATGAAAAGAGTTATGTGTCAGATATGCTGAGCACAGGGCCTGAGAACAGTAAGAACTCAAAAGGCTAATCTTTATGTTTAGTATTATTGCCATTATTATTAATAAATGCTCATCCAAAAGGATACTAAAATAATACTTGTAATAGACAAAGTGTATCAGAGACTGCTAGTTATCACCTAAACTCTATTCTCCACTTTCTCCTTTGTAACAAAACTCAAACCTTACTCAGGGCGTCAACATACCAGCTAAAAGGCAACATTGCCCAGCCTCCTTTTTAGCTAGCTGTGGCCACATGACAAAGTTCTGGCTAATGGAAAGTAAGGAGAAATTGGTTTTCTCCCTCCCAAAGGAGATAGCTGGGACATGGTGTTTTGTCTTCAACTCCCCTGCCTGCCCTTCCACCCCAACCATTTCTTCTTTCCCGCTGTGCTGCCTAGAATGTGGATGTGATAGCTGGTGTTCTAGCAGCCATCTCTGACCATGCAGTAACCTTAAATGTGGAAACCACCCCCTAAGGATGGCAGAGCAGAGTTAATAGAAAAATAGAAAAATTCTGCAACCCTGAACAGTATGAAGCCACTACCTCAACAGTACAATCACTGCTGGACGATTATTTTGGAGTTGCCACTATGCACAATCAAAACAGATTATAGGTGTACTACTCACTTTGTAACAATTTTCATTTGTTTGCAAGTGTACAGAACAATTTTCTGTCACCCCAAACTTGCCAATTTACCCACACACTCAGAACCTATTATCCTGTACAAAAATAATACATTGAGTGTCTATCATGTGCCAGATACAGAGTCATGATTTCTCCCTCCCACTCCCCCCAATAGCAGATCAGCAGAGCCCAAAGAGGAGCATGAAGCTAGAGCAACCCAGAAGGCTCATTAAAACCTATGGTTGAGGGAGCCACGGTCAGGGATCAGACTCTACATCAGATCACGGCCAAGGAGCCTAATCACTGATCCTCCCAGGTTACCAGGGCAAAAGCAGGCAGTTTAGAGCAATGATAGTTGACATTTACAGACTGCCTTCCCAGAAGCCATTCCCCCTTTTTTTAGACGCAGCCTCCAATTGTCTAAGCTCCACCTCAGTCACATCATTTGAGCCTGGATCAAGCTGCACCTGAATCTATTGCTAGAGTTTTCAGTTATATGAGCCATTAAGTTCTCTATTTTGCTTAATCCAGTTTGAGTTATCTGCCATTTACAACACACAGTCCCTGGGTCCCCAGCCAGCTCAAACAAGCTGGAGCCAGTTTCCTGTGTCAGAGAAGGACAAGACACAGGTGATAAATTTCTTAGTGGGCTACACTTACCTGGGCAAATAACCCGAACTTGCCCTTGAAGGGAAATGTGTCTGGGAAGTACTTATTGATGAGGTGCACAAGTGGATCATCATAGCCCCACATGATTTCACCGACAGTGCGGTTCATGAAGGCACGCTCACCAAGGGTGCTGAACGCCAACGTCATGATCAGCTTCAGGCTCATGGGCCTATCTTCCATCAACATCGCCGCACTCTGCAGGGCAAAGACACCACAGGTGAGAGACTAGCCCATCCCCTTGGACTTTAGGCCAGGCCTCAAGGCAGAATCCATCTAGGGAAATGTTAAGACCTAGGATGACCTCTGCAGTGGACTTGTCAGGTATCTGGGGGCAACCAGAACCATTCCCTGATCCTTCAGTAAAAGGACCACCTGTGCTTTTGGATTCAGGCTAGGTTAACTGCACCTTCAGCCACAGAGACAGGTACGTGGCTCAGGCACAACCAATCAGAAACCTTTCTCCCTCTGGCTATAATTACTGGTTTGAGAATGTGTACATGGCCCAATCAGAGCCAACAAATCACAAGGAAACATTCCACTGGGGCTGTGGAGATGGGGGGAGCTGCTACTGTCCATGAACCTGGAGTGTGCAAGGCTACAGACAATGTGAGGGGCAAGTCTGCCAGAGTACGGAACTAACACAGATCAGGGCCAGGCTGTCTGCACCCTGGATCAAGCCACACCCTAAACCAGATGCCCTTTCAGTAACATGAGCCCATAAATTCCCTCTTTTATGACAGTTTGCAGCGCCTTTTACTGTCACCTTGTAACAAAGAGAGTCTTAATATAGATTCAACTCTACTTATCATCTCCCTCCAAAACACTAAAAGCCCCAAACATCTGTTCTACCCAACATCTGGGTCTTAGAAAATAGGTGAGTTTATTTTCAAAGACTGTCTTTGGGTATGGAACTGCTTTACATTGTCAGAAGGTGGTAAACTTAAATATAAATTGTACATGCCTTTAACCTCAGAAATTTCATTTGTAGGAATTTGTTCTCTTGATAGAACAACACACATGAACAAAGATGTTTGTACTCAGGGATATTCATTTCAGCCGTGTTGTTAGAACCAGAAGATACTGTCTTGGCACTTGGTTAATTTTTTAAAGGCAATTCAAAAAGTCAATCTCTACCTATAGAAAAGTGAACACAGCCAGCATCTCCTAAAACATGGGCTATAGAGATCTGGTTCCATGGGAACTCACCAGGGTCTTCTTAACATACAATAATTTTTTAAAGGCAATAAACACATGGTTTTCAAAAATCGTAAAAGGATATAAAATAAAAGTCCATCTCCAATGCCTGAGTCCTCTTCCTTCCCAGTCTCTTCCCCCATGTCCACCAACTGCTATGCATTCTTGGGTTTTTCTCCAGAGACACTCCACACCAGAGGTCAGCAAACTATGGCCTTGGGACCAAAGCCAGCCCACCATCTATTTGTGTACAGTCTGGGAGTCTTTCTACGTTTTCAAATGGTTGAAAAATAAAAAAAACAAAAGAAGAATATTTTTAAAAACATGAAAAGTATATAAAACTCATATTTCAGTGTCCATAAAGTGAGGTTTTATTGACATATAGCCACACCCACTCATTTATGTTGTCTTTAGGTGTTTTTGTGTTTCAATGGCCAAGTTGATAGCTGCAATGGAGACTGTATGGCCCTCAAAGTCTAAAACATTTACTATCTGGCTCTTTACAGAAAAAGTATGCCCATCCTCGTATAGGCACATAAAAGTACCTACATGTAAGTGGGTGTGTACACACAAGTCTTTCTCCTTTATGAATAATTAGTAGTTCTATTTTTTATGAATAATTAGTAGTTCTATTCTTTATGGATAACTATGAATAATGCTGTGTTCTGCTCCTTCCTCTTCCTGCACTGAGACATACCTTTGGACGGCCCCGTGCCCCTCCCTGCCCCCTGTGCTGGCTGTATCCTAGGCCCTTGCCTGGCCACAGCACACTATCACAACGTGTCTCCACACGATGCACATTTAGATTGTTTAAAGACATTTACTCTAACAGGGCTGTTGAAATGAATATCCTTGAATACAAACATTTTTGTTCATGTGTGTTATTCTATCAAGAGGATAAATTTCTACACATGAAATTGCTGAGGTCAAAGGCATGTACAATTTATTTTTAAAGTCACTACCTTCCGACAGTTCATACCAGTTCCATTTCCAAAGACAGTCTCTGAAAGTGTGTTTCCACACATGCCAATAAACCCTGGGCATTCCATGCAGTCTTTGTCAACCCAGTCAGTGGGGGAAAGTGACTTCACTGCCAAAACATGCATTTCTAACTCTGAGAGAGGCAGCTGCAAGGCTTCGGGATGCAGTTACCTGAGCTTCCTCCGTCCTGTCCATCCAATGGACCCACCAGATGAGTTCACCTCTGATCCTGGGCCCAGCCTAGGGCCAGGCTCAGATCAAATGCCCAATAGCCCTTGCCAGGTGGACAGAGGGCTGAATGGAGGGCTCAGTACAACAGAAGGCAGAATCAAAACCCAAACTCTCTAGGTTCAAAACCCAAATCTGCTACTTGCTAGCTGAGTGACCATGGATAAATCACTTAACCTCTGTTCTTTGGTTGCCCTCCTCTAGAAATGGAGAAATAATAGTACCTAGTGACCACAGGACTGTTGACAAGTCATCAAGGTAATACATGGCAAGCCCCTAACCACTAAATTCTAACACGTAGTTTTAGCAAGAAGTTAATGCCACAGTCCTGAGGCTGCTCTCTCTAGAAAGGCCTGCTGGCAAGGTGGGCTCTAGGCTCATGCCTAGGAACTTGGACTTCTGGAGGCTTCCCACTACTCCCTGACTGATAGGAGGGTCTCACTGGACCTGGACTGTTTGTACAAACAATGTGGTTTATGCTGACCTCCTGCTTTCCTTCAAGGGGTCTGGATTTTGGCAAGTGCCAGGTAGAGGGTGCCTATGTGAGCAGCCCCAGGAACACCCAGAGTGCTGAGTCTCTAATGGGCTCTCCTGGTAGATGACACTTCACATGTACTATCACAACCTGTTGCTGGAAGAATTAGCGAGTCCTGTGTGACTCCCCTTGGAGGGGTTCTAGAAGCTGGAGCCTGGTCCCCACCCCATGGGCCTTTCCCTTTGCTGATTTGGTTCTGTATCCCTCTGCTGTAAATCAGCAGAGCCCTGAGTGGACCATGTGCTGGGTCCTAGTGAGTCAGCAGGCTTGGGGGTGGGCTTGGGGACCCAGCAGACATGGCACGCTGTCAATAAATCCAGCTGCCACTATAACTCTCAACTGTAGCGAGCAGAGGCCCTGCCCACAACCTCCCTCAAATGCCATGGATGGTGCTGTGGCCTGGGGATGCCCCACTGCACCCCCCACTAGTACCTCCTTTGGAGATATTCGATTTGTAGATTGAAAAGGGAAAGACAATGACCTTGGCCAGTGCCACCAAACCAGAGACAGGTGGGCACACCCGGGAAACTGGGCTGACAGTCTGGCCCAGGAGCCACAGGTGCCCCCTTGCGGTCCTGCCCAGTGCCAAGGGCAGGCAAGAAGAGAGATCCAAGCCCTCGGGCCCAAGGGCAGGGGCAGGTGTGGAGGGCGCGAGCGCGGGGCAGCCTCACCAGGACCAGGATGTTGGGCATGACGATATAGTCGCTCTCCAGGCCGGAGGACCTGTCGGGCTGGAACTGGAATCTGCGGTACTCACGGAAGGACACCGTGTCGTTGTCATTGAAGGTGATGTTCCTCTTGTGTCTGAACTCCCTATGGAGAGGGGGCCGGTGGGTCAGCAGACCCCAGCTGCCTGGGGATGCAGCACCTGCCTGGGCGCTGTGCAGCCTCAGCTGCCTTCCCCGGGTCTGTCCCGCCGCCACCTGCCCACCACAGGGCATGGGGCCAATGCCTGTCAGGCTCATCAGAGCTTCCCAAAGAGTACCCCAAATCTCAACACGCCTCCCCTCCAACTGGCTGAGGTGTTGCTGTGCCTCATCAGCCTCCTCCCATGGCTCCATGTTTTCCTAGGGGAGGCAGTGAGCACAGTGGTTAGACAGAGGGCTGAGGCTCGAATTCTGTCTCCATCACCTACTACCTGGGCCTCAGTTTTCCCATCTATGTAGTGGAAGTAACAAGAAGCCTATTTCACAGTGCTGTTGGGAGAATTAACATGAGTTAGTGCACATAAAGCAATTCAGTTGCCCAACGTGCAGAACACTCTGTGGGTATCAACTGCCATTACAGTTGCTGCCAATATTGATATTACCTATTGCTCTGTAATCCATTCTCCATAAAGTACTCAGGAGAATCTTTGAAAAGTGGAAATCAGACCATGTCATTTGCTGGCCCTTTCTTTGCATACAGGATAGAATCAAGCTTCTCGTGTAGCCTCGGGGGTCCTCACCAGCTAGCCCCATCCTGTACTCCGCTCATATCTCCTCACCCAGCCACACAGGCCTCTTATCCTGGGCCAGGCTGCTGCCACCTCAGGGCCTTTGCACTTGCTGCTCCCTCTGCCCAGGACCCTCTTCCCCAAGATCTTTCTCTCCATCCAGGTCTAGGTGAGGAGTGTCCTTTTGCAGGGGTCCTCCCTGACCCCCCAGTGAGACTGGCCCCACCAGCACTCTCCACCCCTTTACCTCTGTTCCCACCACACTTAGGTCACCTGACTTCACCTTATTTGTCCACTTGTTCACTCTCCCCCTTGGGATATCAGCTCTGAGAGGCAGAGGCTTTAGTCTGCCTTTAACAGTGAGCTGGCACAGTGCCTGGCACATAGGAGGAACTCAATAAATGCTTATGGAATGAAGGAACAAATATGAACTTTGGCAAACCAGGATGGGCTCCAACACAGAAGCCCTTCTCAGGTGAGCTCAACCGGGATCACAGTGTCACAATTGCGGTGTTGTGAAGTGTTCATCCCGGAAGAGCAGAATAGTCGATTCTGGAAATGGGATTCTTGGAAAACTGCTCTGGCCATTGCTACATGTGCCCAAAGAACAAGATCAAAGAGGCCGTGGCAACATAGGTAACAAGGTTAACAATTAGCGCTTACTGAGTGCTTGCTGCATGCCAGGCACTGTGCTAAGAGTTTCACACTATCTCATCCGATCGTCATAACCACCCTACAGTGGGTGCTGCTATCGCCATTTTATAGATGAGGAAACTGAGGCACAGGGAAGTAAAGCCCCTTGCCCATCATCAGAGAGCTGGTGAGTGACAGAGCCACATTTTAAACCCAGAGAGTCATTCTCCAGAGTCCACAACCTCACCCTACAGTGTGGGTCAGGAACAGCCGACTGACCTTGAAAAAACTATTCCCCCGTTGGGAGCCTCAGTTTCTTTATTTGTACAATGGAGTGATGACCCCAATCCTGCAAGGGCCCTCCACTTGGTAGTGCTGGTCTTGCCCCTCTGTCCTCACCTGTACACGTAGGGCCCACGCTCCTGCACCTGTGGCTTCCCACCCTGAATAATCTCATCGGGGTTGACCACGTGGAAGAAGTAGGCAGAGAGGTAGAAGGGTACAGGGATCTCTTTCCACATGTTGAAGGACAGGCTCATAGGGTCAATGCGCACATTCTGTGGGGAAAAGACAAGCATGACTGTGAGAAGGACAATGGGCCCCACCATGCCCCATCACCAGGCTGCAGAATAGCTGCCTGGATCCGGCCTGCACTTCCAGATGCACAGGCACAGCAAGGACAGGAGGCAGAGGAAAGCCCTCACACGCGCTGCCCTGGAGCACACACAATTAAGTCAACTGGTAACATATTCATGCTGTGATGTCTTTCACGCACTTCAATGACCAGAGCACATGGTGGCCCTTCAAGGCAGCCACTATTATTAGGATTTTGGTGAGGGGTTCCTCTGTCACTCTGGATGGAGACATATGGGAGTGAGAAGCCTCTGCAGCTGTGTTCCCAGGCTTCCCCGCCCACCCTGACCTTTGGCCAGCAGGCTCCTGCTTCCACCCAGGGCGCACAGTGATCCATCACTACTGAGCCCTTCAGGGAGAGGAAAAGGCCCTCTCCCTGGCTATGCAGGGGCAGAGGGTAATGAACCACATCCCTGGGACTGGCAGAGAAGCAGGCAAGGGATGGAACTGTGGTCCCTGCCTACCAGCTGTGGAAGCAGAAGGCCTGTCCCCTGCTCAGTCCTGACACAAACAGGGCATGTGGGAGCCAAAGAGGGCAACTCTGGCGAGCACCGGCTAGGGGGCCGAGGGAAATTACAGGGTCACTCCCCAGCCAAAGGCAGAGGCTGCTGGGGCTCTGGGGTCCCGAGGGCTCACCTTTTCCACACCCTCCCCTGTTTCATGAGCCGCAAGAAATCCAAATCTTTCCATGGACTCTCCTGATTGTTTCAGTATCAACAATTTATTTTTTAAGATCAAACGCCATCACACACCTCCAGGCCACAGCAGCCCTTGGGCCGCCCCTTCATGCGCCTACAGGAGCACTCCACCCAGCTGTCTCCCGGGGTCACCTCCCTGAGGCTCTCCCCAGGGCCCACAGCAGGTCCAGCCCCAGAGGCAACCTCCAGCACCCCTCGGCACAGGCTTGATGGGTGGAATTCAGACCTCAGTCTGAAGGCTGCTGGGGAGCATCTGGGGGTCACCACCTCACATCTTCAACCAAGACAGGCCCCCAGGGAGGAGCCACAGAGGGAACCAGTCCTGTTACGCCCCCTCCACCATCCGCTCACATACAGAAAAGGTATGAAGGGCGAGCAACTGGGGGTTCCCACCTGGCCTGCCTTCCACTGAGCACCCCACCAGAACACGAACCCTCAACCTCAGATTCCATCTTTCTGTGTATAAAAACACAATATAACATCTAGCCTCTCAGCCAATAGTCAACTATGCAATGTAGTATCTTTAGCTGTAGACACAATAGTGTTTGGTAGATCTCTGGGCTTATTTATCTTGAATAACTAAAAATATAATAATCACAATCACAAGTTAGGAGAGTGAAAGGAAAATCCTGTTTATGGCACAGCTTGGGGTGATGGTCCAATGGGTGTGCGCCTTATATCATGTTGTAAACATTAAATATGTACAGGGTTTTTTTAATACCAATTATACCTCAATAAAGTGGCTTAAAAAAAAAGGTTCTGGTTCCAACCTCCCTCCCCTAGTTCTGTGCCTCAGCGATAGCAGCCTGGCCCCAAGAAAGAAGCCTTCAGAATCCTGGAATCCTCATATGCCCTCCTCATCCACTAGCCTGCTCACCCTGCTTCAGGGATAAATCAGGGTCACACCAATGAGTTACCAGATAAAACCACATGTCTCTCTCTCCTTCCAACAGATGGGGCTCTGGGCTCTGCGGCTCCACCCCACTCACTGGGCATGGGCTCACAGGGCATCTGTGATGACCTAGCTCTGCCTTTTGGCTGGGAGACAGGAGGTAATTGCTGATCCTCTCTGTACCAAGTTTCCTTATCCATAAAATGAGCATAATATAGCATTCACTGCATAGGGCTGGAATGAAGCTTAAATAAGTTGCAGAGGTAAAGTTCTGGAAGAACCAGGAGCCTGCAGGTCAGCCATACAGTCACCTGGCATGGAGTGACCCAGTCCTTCCTTGTCCCCTGTCTGCTGCACCACCCCCACTTCAGGTGGGGGATGGACTTTGCACTGCTTTTGATTGGCAAGATAGCTTTCTTTGGGTCACTCCAGACCAGAGACATCTGGACCAGGCCGCTGATTAGATAACAGTGCTGGCCAAGCTCACAGCCTTTGCCTAACACAGCTGATTCTACCCTTGCAGGCCCCCTCACCCCCCCACAAGGCCAAAGATCACTGCCCAGAACACAAAGATGGGGGGAGACGACCATGGTGATCCCTTATCGGATCTCCCTCTCATCCAACCAGACCCTTCAAGCCCATTCCCTGGACAGTCAGGAAGGCTGCCTGGAAAAGGGAACATGTGAGCTGGGTATTAAAAAAATGAGTTGGACTTTGCCAGGGAAAGAAGTTTCTGGTAGGGACACAGCCTGTGCAAAGGCTAGTTAGGAAGCCTCTGGAAATACAACTGAACCTACATATCCATCAATAACAATTACGTTTTTAAAGTCTATTTTAAAACAACCCAAACCCATCCACCAATACAGGAACTGCCATGTATCCAAACCATGGAACACTACTCCGCAATAGGAAGGAACCAGTCCTGGTAAATGCCGCAACATGATTAAACCTGGAGGATGTCATGGTGAGAAAAATACACCAGGCACAAAAAGATAAAACCATATTATTCCACTCATATGGAGTAGCCAAAGGAGTCAAATTCATAGAGAGAAAGCAGAGGGGGGGTGCTGGGGAAGAGAGGAGGGGGAGTTGTTGTCTAGTGAGGACAGAGATTTTATGAGATGAAAAAGCTCTGGAGCGGGGAGAACAGTGTAGCACAGAGAAGGCACATAGTGGATCTGTGGCACCTTACTGCACTGATGGACAGTGACTGCACTGGGGTATGGGTGGGGACCTGATAATATGGGTAATGTAGTAACCACTTTGTTTTTTCATGTGAAACCTTCATAAGAGTATATATCAATCATACCTTAATAAAAATTTTAAAAAAAATAGCTCTGGAGGTGGGTGGTGAGGGAGGCTGTAAAACATCATGAATGCTGAATGCCTCTGGACTGCATGCTTAAACATGGTTAGATAAATTTTATGTTGTATCTATTGTACCACAATTTTGAAAACTGGGTGTGGTGGGGTGAGGATCCGTGTGAATCATATCTCAGTAAAAGTTTGAAACAGCCCTGAATGTTGCTATATATAAGTCATTGCAGGTAAATAAACTGAAGCCCAGAACATTCTGCTGCCCTCAGATGGTGCCTTGGGCTCCTTCTTAGCACCGTCTGTTTTGTATCTGGCTTCTTTTATTCAACTTGATGTTTCTGCTAGTTGTCCCTTTTTTCGCTGATTAGTATTACATTGTATAAAAGCACCTAATGAGTTCATCCATTTACCTGTTGATGGACATTTGAGTTGCTTCCAGATTGGAGCTATACCAAATAAAGTTATTAATGAACTCATCAAACTGCACACTAAAAGTTTGTGCACTTACTGTCAATAAGATATACCTCAATAGAGGCAATATATTTAAAAAAAAAACACCCAATACAGGCTATGTTTACTACAATGGAATAACCTCCACACTCTTTAGGGTTTTAAGAAAAGTGGGGAAGCACAGGTATTATTATCACCTCTAAGATATAATGGCTCACATGCCTCTTTCTCAGAAAGACCCACCCACCGTGATGAGCAAAAGAAGGCAGACAGGAAAGGAAACACTAGGTGCTTCCATTGCTGAACGTGTCCCGAACCCAGGGACAGAAAGCAGCCTGGTGTCTGCAGGGAAGAAGGGCATTGGCTGCTCAGCAACCAAGAGGTGGCTTTGTGGGGCAGGGAGATGTTCTGGAACCAGAAGGTAATGGTTGCATGACATTGTGAGTGAACTACAATGTCACTAAATCATACACTTGTAAATGGTTTAAATGGTGACGGTTATATTAAGTGAATCTTACCATATTTTTTAAAAAGATAAACTGCAGATTAAAATGAGGTATTTCCAAAAGATGGTCACAAATTAAGACTCCTAAGAAAACCAAGTGCAGATGAAGGTGAGGTGAAGCGAGACACACCTCTGTGCAGGTGGCATGAGACCTCTGGAGAGTGGGGGCGGGGGGCAGTTCCTCACCAGGTCAAGGATATGAGCACAGCCTCAGTGAGTCTGGTGTCCCCTGTTTGGCCCGCGGTGCAGAGTGCTGGCTTTCAGATGCTGCCGGCCACCCCTAGGGCCATCACCTGCACATCTGGAGTGAGCAAGAAGCTTCACAAAGGACCCCTTACCTTTCTGGCAGGTGCCCTGAGATTATTTACAACTGCAGTATTCTATCAGATGCCATTCTGTTTTTTAAATGCTGGTCTCCACACACCCTACTCTAGGATCACACCCCACAGTTTGGAAACTCTGCCCTTGAGAAATTCCCACACGCATGCAAGAGGGCTGCAAAAGGCATGTTGAATCTTGAGAAGGAACAGATAGTCCAGCAGGTCCTCAGCCAAAGATAAGCTCCCACTTATGCACCTGTGGGCAAATGAACACCCAGGTCCACCTGGGCGACCCTCCAAGACAGACTCTCAAATAAAAAAAGGCAAGATGTGGCCTTTCTGTGTAAATTTTCAAACATGCAGAATTATGTGAAAACAAAATTAATCAAAATTGCCATCTGAACATTGGCTTGCAAGCCCCTCCACCCTGTGACCTCTCCAGGCCCTACATCCTCTCATGTTCCTATCACTCAGTCAACCTGGCCAGGCTGGCCTCTTTGCCAGCCCTTCCATGTGTAGCACACTCCTACCCCAGGGCCTTTGCATGGGCTGTTCTCTCTCCCTACAGTGTTCTTCCCAAGGTAACAGCATGGTCAAATCCTTCACCCTCTCTAATCTTGGCTCACATGCCTCCTTCTCAGAAAGACCCACCCTATCCAACCCCAAATTCTAGAACTCCTTAACCTGCTCTGTTCTGCTCATGGTCCTTGTCACCATGTCATATAACATAACTATTATGTCT